AATTAGGATTTTTTTTCAGGCAGTGTTTCCAGAGAGGTGTAATTTGGAAAGTTTAATGAGACACAGTTTGAGGAAACAGGTAGAGGAAGACCTATTTCAAATTTTCTCCTAACAGAAGAGACACTGACTTGCCTAATTAGGCTAGGCTCTTAAAAGAGGTAGCTTTCCAGAAACATCCACCCAGAAACGTAGCTCAGCTGATCTTCTCTGTATTAGACAAAGAACTTTCTTCTCAGCTCATAGCAAAGCAGCCTAAAAACCTCCCATCTTGATCTAGAGATTGTTAGGAGGAAAAACAGGACAAGAGAGGAAGGGTTTTTAACTGCTCTCTCTATTCTTTTCATGGACTATTGGCTGAAGGATGTCCTAGTGGCTCAGGAACATTTCATACCATAATCTTCCTGAACATCAAAATTTGTATTCAATCCATTTTGATCTTTTGCCCCCACCATTAATGGAAGGATTCTCAAGGTTTTTAATTATTTCAGTGTTCATACTTGCCAGTCTCTTCTTTTTTTTCCCCTTGCTCCCATATTATTATTTAGCCTAAATTGCTCATCTCCATCATTGGTATTGTCCTGTACCACGACAAGCATGCAGACAGCAACTGTAGGACCTGTCAGTCTGTGTTTTCCCAAACTGAACAAACCAAACACTGCGAGTTTACTGTGGGAAGAGACTCTGTATTCCCACATCATTTAAACGTTTTTCCTCTGTTCCTTCCCAGCATGAATTAATCCTAGAGCACGTAGGTGATGGTAAGTGAATGGCTCGCTAGTTCTTTGTATAACAATACCCACAATGCTGAAAATGCCCTCTATTTCATGAAAAGACCTTGGCTACTCATCCTGTATTTATTTTTTTCCTTCTTTACAGCTGCATCACACAGATAAGTATTCTAAAATTGACTACTTCACCTAGCCCTTTCTTCCCTCTTTTATTCCCAGGTCAGAGCAGAAATTCCTGTTGTTACCCCCTCCAACACCTGACCTTGTCCTATCCTAATTGTTACTTGTCAGAACATTAAAATATTCTGCTCTTGATATTCCACAGTGTTGAGACTGCCCAAATTCCCAACAGCAAATGTAATTCCGTGTATTCCCTTCCATTTCAGCTTAGTGACAATATTTAGAAACATGTCCCAAAAATGAGGTCTTTTCTTCCTAGCCTGCTGCAGGCTCCTCCTTAGCCCATTCCTCACCACTTTACAATCCTTCCACTAATCCCCAGCTTCCTCCTTTTGATGATTCATTTTCTGGGTGGCACTGATAAATTGCTTTACTGAAGTTCAATTAGATTAGATTGCCTTTGACTGAAAAAACTGCTATCAAAAAGCAAGAGATCTGATTATTCTGGCACAAGGTACTTTTGGTGAATCTATTTTATATTTTATCCCATGTATCAGCACCCTATCTTTTAATTTTTCTATCCGTCAGATCCTTTTGTAAGATCCTGCGTACTGCTGAGGCCATACCTTTTCTCCCCTCTTTCCTTAGTGCAGACACTGCACTTCATTTTCTGCAGTAAAACTGCTGTCCTCTAATTTGACAATCTTATTAAAAATGCTGTCTGTCAGGCTTCCAGTTTCATGAGCTAAACACCACCCCAGAATGCCAAGTAACTATTGGGTTTTGAGCCTGTAGCTCATCTCCTGCATATTTGAAGTTTTTTTGAGTTTTGCTGCTACCTCAAATGGAGAAAATTTCACCCTGTACCTTTATTCCACTACTAATTTTCATCAGTATACATACTAGTCCTGATGAAGACTCAGATGAGGCATTTGTGAAATGTCTGAAATAGCTTTTCTTCTCAGTACCCCCATAGAGTGGCCATCTTTTTTTCTTTCCTGTTCTCTATGTCAATTACAAAATTATACAGCCTTTTAGATTTGCTTTAGCTTCCTTTATAGAGTCTAATGCAACCTGACAAAGTGAGAATTGTGAAAAGTCCTCCTCCTCTGATAGTTTGCCTTCCTTGACATTTGGTGCATTTACACCCTCCAGCTCATTTTTCCAGAACAAAGAAGGGGTCAGATTTTCTGCCAGCTACATTCTTTGCATCTCACTTGTGAACAAGAGCAAATGTGGTAATTGCTCCAGCACAGACGAAGAAGAAAGTCAGGAAGCAGAGTGAACAAAAACGTGACTCGGGAACACCCAGGCTACCCTGTGCCAGAATAGAGGCAGACTGTCCCTCCTATAGATCATTCTCTCTTAGTACAAAAGAGTTTCTCTCAAGTGCACACTGAGGATCAGACACTGTGTTTCACTTGTAAGGGTTTTCACACAGAAATTTCCCACTTTCCTCAGCAATTCATTTTTTCCTTCCCTGTCACCTTAACTTCCCACATTATCACTGACCAGAAAAGTGGAAGCAAAAGTCTTGGGAACCCCCAAGGAAGAGAATTCGTAGCAGGCAAGACACTGCTATGCAAAAGTCAGTTCCGGTCTTAGTCTTTTACCCAGTTTAAGGGAGTGGCAAAGTTGGCATGCGGTTAGAAAGCACTTTCCAGTTTTGTTTAGCTATGAAAGCAAAGTCTTCTAAATTCAATCCTTCAATCCTTTTGCCCGATCTCAAAACCTTCTGATTACCAAGATTCCTCTGAATATTTTCTGATGGTAAACACATAGCCCACATGCTTCCAGTGTAAGCAAGAGGAGATTATAAACTAAAAATACAGTGGCTACTTTACAGAACAAAAGAAGTCAGTTTCTTACAGCTCAAAGCCTTGTAAAAAAAAAAAAAATATTGTATAAGCTGCAGTAAGACTCACCCAGACAGGCAGCAGCTTTTGACTTCCCTATTTTGTGAAGGACATTTTCCTCTACTTCTGTTTTACTCCATCTCCTCCCACACAAGCCGCAGCACCCCAGAGTAACTGATGCTGTACAGCATCAATACTTAGGACAGGTCTGCTCCATTCTCCCTCCTTGGAGGTACAATCTCCAAATTTGTCTTGGGAAGTACATTTTAAATAGAAAGACTTGGAGCTGCCCTTCCTGCAGCCCTCCCTGCTCTCAAACACCTGGAGGCAGAAGACAGGTAGCAAGAGGGAGCCCTGTGGAAGATTTACAGCTTTTTTTTTCACCTTTTGGGGATGGTGACATACTGCACAAGCAAGGAGAGCTCCCAAAATCGGAACCAGCATGAAATGCTGCAGGGCTCTGACATAAGAGATTTCATCCAAGTCCCCACTACAGCCCATTTATGTCCCACACCACTGCCTGAGGGCAGAGCAGCTTACCACAACCCAGACATCCAGGGCAGGGTCAGAGGGAAGCAGGCCACACTCACAGCCTTCAAATTCTGAGCTGAACCTCCATATGTTTAGCACCAAAATTACATTTCATACTTGGAATCCAACTTCCTTAAAGACCTGGGCAGTCTTAAAAACCACATCTGCTTTGTGAAGTATTATATACAGCAGTTTTCACAGATCAGACACATTCTTGCCAAAATGCCATTTATTGCAGTATACCTTTACACGGCATACAGATAACCAAATGTTGCATCTTCTGTTAGAACTCATATTTCATTTGTACCACTTAAATAACACAGAATGTCATGTTTGTTTCACAAACTGTCAGTTTAGACTACCAAAATATACAGGTTTCTTTCCTTTCCCCCTAGCAAGGTTGTGAGGTACAACTGAAGTTTAGCACTTTGTCTTCCTGTGCTTTACAAGAACCTTTTCACTGATAAACCTATCAAACAACATTTCTACATTCCTATACAAAGCAAAGAATTACAGCTGAAATTAACACCATTTGGTCATTGCATTAACCTGTAAAAATTCATTCAATTAAAAAAAAAAAAGACATAATGGACTTTGCAGCTTTACTTAAAAATAGCCAGCTACACGTATGCACAAGTTTTCCTTGTGCATAAAGAAGAGTTTGGAATCAAGGAGGTTTTTTTTCTCTTGGGTTTGCAGAGAAGGCACCAGTTTTAGCTGTGTAGCAGCTCAGGAGTGTTTTATACTTCATTTAAATTACACAGGTTTTTAAATTTTACTGTTAATGTGCAACATTTGTGCCAACTGTTGCAATATTCTCCAATCATTCCCTCTGGCTCAACAGTACAAATATTTACATCAGTTGTAAACACTCCTCCACCCACCCCATACCTTCTGCACCGAGTGATGAGGAACTGAACTTGCAAGAAGCTAACCAAAGGCAGAGAAGTAAGGCTTGTGCAGAACACCACACTTTTCTTCTCACTCCATTTGAGATACTCTGGAGAACTCCAGACCCTCAATGAGGCCTCAGTGCCTTGCATCTGACAGAATGTTGACCACCAACAGCTTCAGGCATCCGGACTTTCCTCAGGAGGTGCTTTTCATCCCTTACTAGTCTGACATCCCTGGAGTTGCTTCTCTCCAAAGTGCAGGAACAGCTTCTGGAGAGCCATTCCGGAGTCATGAGAGTTAAGCACACCAACTGTTGTACATATTTAAGGCCATCTACACTTAGTCTTCATAAGGCTTGTTTCAGATGCTACGCTTCTCTACCCCTTAGCTACGAAGTCATGATATGCTGCTTTCTACCTTCCACCCCTGTGTGCCAAGGCATTCTGTGGCATAGACAGCAGACCACCTTCCGAGACAACCACTATAAACAGTGCACAGAGAGGTAGGAGCTACAACACGCCATCAGTCACCTGGCGACTACATGGTAGCGCAGGATAAGAGTATTTGCAGCACGACAGCCCAGCCTAGATTCGGCATCTACGAAGAGGGAATGTCTGAGATGAGACTGTTTAGAAAAATCTCTTTCTTACCTAAGCCTAGAAGGAGCAAGAGGGTAGTGGGACAGCCCAATGCTATTGGTAAAAATGAACTCTCCACTTAGTTTTGGGGTCTTTGGGGTTTGTTTTGTGTTAGTGTATGCACCAACTGCTTAGGAGCTGGTTCTGAGTATGGGATAATGTTTCCAAAATATAAGTTATTTTAAACCACATGACAGTCATTTGCTTACCCTGGCCCTCACACCTCATTTCACTAGAAATCATGCTCAGCTTGATGTTCCGTAAGCATTAAGTGCTCCAAATATGGCAGTTAGTAAGAGCTAGAGGATTGCAGTGTACCAAACGTCTGCACAGCGCAGCCATTTGTTACACTTAAAACACATCTATGAGTTAAGTAAGAAGAATCCCTGCTATACAGCATTTGAGCACTGATAATTGTTTATTCTTGCTAGCCCTTCCCCTAAATATCCAGAGGTTTATACATACAGTGCTCCCTTATCTTCTCCCCACCGCCTGCCCCAGCAGTCTTTAGATAAACCAAAGTGAGTTTAGGAACTTGCAGTCCCACTTCTGTTTAAAAAAAATAAAATAAAAAAAGTTGTGCAAGAAAGCAGGGAGTGTTCAGTGAATCCAGATCTACTTTGTAGTTACAAAATTTCCAATGGCAAAGTGTTAAGGGCAATTAACCCAATGATCATATGGCTTAAGTTTAATGCAAAGCACACTAGGAGGTCCACGTGCAGGGAGAGAAGAGTCCAAGAAAGATGGAATAAGAAGTGTCCTGAAGATCAGTGTTTATGCATAGAATTCCTCTTGTTTGTGTGGTTTTTGGTATCCTCCATTAGACTGTTTTGGTTCATCCAGTGAATAGCTGCCTTCGTCTTTTTTCTTCATTCTGTACAGCATAAACGCAACTAGAAACACCGCAAACACCAAGCCTACTAGTCCTCCAGCAATAACACCTAGAAAGGGGAAAAAGCCACAAATTACTCTAGACGCCTCACCAGACAATGCCAGTGTGATTGTAAGTTCCAGATTGTTCCTTACTGTGCAGTCCCTGACTTCATGACTTCCAGAAATTAATTTGCCCTTTTGCCCCCTGCCAAACTGGTCATCTGGCCATTACCAAAAGCCTGCTCATCTACATGCAGTAAGCCTAAAAGAAACAGATCTCCCACCGGCCCATGCTGCAAAGCATGCAGGGCTACGTTGTTCAACTCCAGTAATCTGACCCAGGCACCATCAGAGCAGTTTTACTGTAGTTTTTGAGAGGAGTGAAGAAATAGGTTTAAACATAAAATTTCAGGTAACTAGCAGCGGCTGCTTTGCTATTAGCAGATTAGTATTTGCCCCTGTTAGGGTTTTGACAACACAGAATCATGAATCACCACCCTCATTTCAGAGGTCTAATGTAAGAGGTTGGCTTTCATGCTCAGAGATGTACTTGCAGAACTGCGGCTTCTGCTGCCTGGAAGACTCCTACAAGAGTCTGCTTTTACCAACTAGAAATCCAGAATATCGGGTACCTCCAAGAACTTCTTTTCTGTCCATAATTCCTGCGGCTCCTGCTGCTTTGGCATTCCTTCCAGAGTCAGCCAGTACTTCTGAGTTCTGGGTGGGGACCAAATCCTCATCTGTAGTCAAGATGAAGTCTCCCTGTTGGGATATACAAGGCAGGTTATTCATGTTTCTCATCATGTGTGCTACAGGAGACTTTCTGCAGTTTTGTTTTTTCTCATCTAAAACCCTCTGCCAATACAACCTATTAAATCAATCGTTTTTGACAAATTACCACCCTTTCCTGCAAAACCAACTTACTACAAACTACTAAAGTCAACTCCCTGGAAAGGGTGTCAAAGCTGTTAGTCCTCACCGGGTCTCCAGAGCCATCTTCAGAAACCTCCTCATGTGTAGGAACAACGTCTTTCGGAGCTGTTGTTGTGGGGGTGGCAGTGACGTCTCCCTCATGATGGATGGTAGAGTGGAGCTCAGGCACATCTTTAGTGTCTGGCACATCAGAGCTAGGGATTTTAGGTTCAAGCTCGTGGACCGTGCTTGAGGGTTCTGAAGGAGTTACATGAACCACTGAAGGAAAGTGAGTAGTGGGGCTTCTCACTGTTGTTGTATCCACATCATTTGTCGGTTTCTCATCAGGTGAGCCCAGGATGGGTACTTCGTCCTTCACAGCTACAACTGGCTCCTCTGTCACTACAGTGCTAGTTGCAGAAGGAGATATTACTTCCTTTTCAGTTCGGCTCTCAGTCCCAGGAAATGGTTGTTCCTTGAAATCCATTGGTGTTGCCAGTAATGAGGAATTAGTCGGTTCTCCTGGGATTCTCCAGGTGTGAGACTGGTCGGTCAGGGGACCTGCAAAACAAAAAAACAATTATCCTTGGCCAGTTAATTAAGAGACCTATTAATAATATCTTCAGGATGGTAGTCTACAGAGGATACCTAACCTGCATAGCCAATTTTCATAACAACAGCAGTTCAGTTTGTAACTCCTTATCTTTTTCAGTGGAATAACGAAGGGGCAGACCAATGCGCTATTCAGCAATACTTTGTTAGTCATCTGCTTCTCTCCAAGGCACAAGTGCTTGTCTGTTTGCGGACAGGTCGACAAGGGGGACGTCTGTTTTCAGTACACTGGTTGCTCAGGATGGTTATCTGACTCTTTTTCCCATAAATATCTTTTATGTGATTCAGAGCGGTCACCCATACTCAACACCTTTAGTCACTGGCACATTTGGCACCAATTTCAGAGTCTTATTCCTGCAGAATTGAATCTAAAATACAGGCATGTGACTGGAAGGAAGCAGAAGGATACCATGCTTTACCTTCCAATAGCTTGCTCTTTCCTCAGTAGCATCTCCTCAACTTCAGCACTTGAACACCAAAGGTCTCTCTCGTGCAGTTTAGTAATCATTCTGACAGACTTTTTCCCCCCACCCTAAAAATCCTTTATTCTGCTTTTAAAAAATTATGGCCCGTGGGAACTTGCACATCTGATGACAGATAAAATTTGCACTTGATGTATGTTGGCAGGTTAGGGCTTACGCACCCTCAAATGCTATCTCCTACCAGCTCATAAGAGAGGACAAAGGCCCTTCTTACAGTATCTCTTCCCCACAAGTAAAGAATCACTCCAGTTTCATAACATTCTTCACGCAGTATTTCATATTAGCAGTGACATGGAGTATACCTGCTTCTGCTCCCTTTCAAGTCTCCTACAACTCATTTTCTGCTAATTGTTAGTATCTGAAGTAATACAAGATTAATAGATTAGGCTCTTCCTCCGTTTCCAACTCTCACATTCTGGGGTGGAGGTGTGTGTGTGTGATTCCTCTTTCCGTCCCTTTCAGCTTGGATGCTCATCAAGATCTTGATTGCCACATTCTGGAAGGATCAAGCACTAACACTACAAGTGCTAATAACTCACCTGCACCTGAACCTGAGAACGCATCGTCATCATCACCAGACGAATCAAGATCTTCAGGAGGAAGGTTCAGATTTGTAGTTTGCTTTGAAGAGAAGGGGAAAAAGTGTGTTAGTGATGAGATTACTTAAAGTTATCATGTTGCCTGTGCAGAGTCCTCTAAGGGCTCCTGCAGGTTACACAAATTTTCTTTGTTCAGATTGCATTTTCTTGTCTGTCTTCATTCCATCTGCCCTCCCCAAAAGAGTAGTTCTGGTTAGTCTGTTTGGTGTTGGAAAGGTCAGTCTTGCTGTCTCCCTTCTCTGCGCTGCTTCCAGGCTGCCCTTGCTTTGGGAAAGAAGCAAGCAAGGAATCTGTTCAGAGCTGCATCCCGGTAGCAGCCAATGTTCAGTCCTTACACACATAACCATTCTGCTTCAGGTTCTGACTGCTCATGTCTTCACTATCTACTAACCACTTCATCTGTGAATTACTGCATTACTTCTAAGGAGCAGAAAAGAAGCGGGGACAAAGTAATTTGGCTTCTCTACCTTTTTAAGGCCTTCCAGCACTGTTCACATATCTGAAACTACAGCATCTAACTGGAAGTAGAATGAGATTCCGTTCTTTTAAGTGTGGGTGCTCAGACTAAATCCGGAGATAGAAGCCAGCCTTCCATGTAGGAGAATGAAGCATAAATGGAGAAAGCTCAGGGCTGTAAGGAGTACACTAACCAGCACAGAAGTTCAGTTGCCAAAACAAGAGGCCAAGCCCCTGTTCTACTGCACCTGTTTGTCATAACAAACAACATTCAAAGCTGTTCCGGATATCCAAAGACAGCAGTAAATAAAGCAGAGTGATTACTTCATGCATCTTATTGGCCTCTGCTGTATACGCTTACTGTTCCTATCAGTACATCATGCTTGACTCTCAGCTCACGACTAGCCCCAGGTTTATTTCTGCAGGGCTCCCATTACCTACCCAGTCATTCTCCCTCCTCAGATTTCAAACCAAAGCCCTATAAGTCACTTCTGAATTTCATCTTTCCCCACCCAACTACATTCCCTGTTTCCAGAATTTTGACTTCTATCCCATCCTCAAGATGGCCCTGTCATCCCTTTCCAGCACTGCCCCATCTGCAAGTTTAGGAGATACTGCATTGCACCATCCAAGCTGATCATGGTTTTATCAGTGTGAAATCTCATTTTATTATGTAAAAACAAGAACATACGTTCTTGCCAGCTCTGCACCCAGGCCCACTGTATTTCTCTAGCTTGCATTAACAGTGTCACTTAAAAATGACTGTAACACTCATTTTCATCCTAGGAAGAAGTTAGTCAGCACTAGTATGATCTGTCAAACAAAGCAGCTGAGCTCTCTCATTGTCACTTTATTATCTACATGGCTGTATTTATTGGTCCTATTGCCTTTTCATTCATTTAAGATACCAGGTTTATCCAGTTTTCTCTTCCTTAATACCTTACCCATTCCCCACATTTCCATAGAACAACTAGTTTCCAAGGTGGTTAACTAGCCCATTAGATTCGACCTCTCTGAAGACAAAGTATGCAAGCTGCCACCAGCCTAATCAGGCCCAACATCTTACCCCTTCTAGGCAATCATTGTAGTTAGAGATGATTTTTTTTTAAATAACAAAAAAGTAAGAAGAAAAAACCTCATATAGACATTAAACTTTTTAGCACTTTTCTTCTTTACTGGAAAAAAAAACAAACCAAACCACTTTTCGTCAAGCTTCTGCAAGCATATTTCTACAGTAATTTCTAAGAAGAAATTGCCCTTCAATCTTTTGTTTGCTGCATGTCATGCAGTAATTTGGATTTTTAGATTTGTCCCCGCTTGTTTACACTATGCTTTTGCACTCATCCATGGAAAGTTGGTCAGATAAGTACTTCCTGTATGTTTTCCTTCTTGTGTCAAAGGTCAGCGACTTGCACAAGCTGATCTCACTACACTTCAAATATTGAAGAGTATGAACTGTTGGTGCAGAAAGAATATGGAAAGAACTGCCAGGTTTCCCAAACTCCGCTCCCTTGAGCGCCCTTTCCAGCACGTTCAGAAGTGAAGTCAGACTTCAGAAATTGCACCATTTTGGTTGATGGGGGGCTAAGGGACCATTTTTCTCCCTCCTTTCTTGCACTAGCAGTGGCAAGCACAATCCTTTGTTCTCTCACCCAGCTTGGTTTTGAGTGCAAAAGGGGGAGTGCATTCTCCTCCCACTGGGAAGACTCTACCATGAAGCAGCTAGAAAGCAATCTCTCCAGCTTTGTATTGAAGAAAAGGACTGCTGATACAGTTTAAGACATGTCACCATAAAGCCTTATCTAGGATTGAGACTAACTTCCCCCCAAATCTGAAGATTCAGGTTTAGCTCATACAAGATTTCCAAGGACACCTGGACAGATTTGATGATCTGCAGACCTTAGGAACACTCCTGAAAGGATCACAGACTGCCAGGAAATGAAATAGCAACTCTTGATCCTGACTGCCAAGCCAGCACCCCTTCCCCTTGTGGTGTTAATGGATGAGGCTTGTTCAGTCATGCCACGCTTCCTTTCTTGTTATCCAGCATGTTCAGCCAGACTACCCTTACATTCCCCCTCACACCTGAGCTTTTAGCCTCTTCCCAGGCTGCTGCACGTTCTGCTTCTCCATAGCCTTTGTCATGTACTTGTTTGAATCCTAGTTTGATTTCTGTATCTTAGCAGGGATAGCTAGGTCCTCCTCAGAGGAGGAAAGTCCAGTGCACCCCAGTCTAAACCAATGGAGACCCATGCTGTTCCAGTATAGAGCTGCCCAGCTGCTGCTCAGCAGCCACCCTGCAAACACAAAGGTGGACTCAGACCAGTTCCTGTCCCCTGAGGCTGCCTACTGTACTTCATGAGAACAGTAGAAAACATGATTCAGGATTAAAGTCTGCTTTCCACAGCTTTATATGAGTATTCAGTGAAGTTGCACTAAATGTGTCCTTCTACTAGTTATCCCAAAGGGTCCTGTCCCAAGCTGCTCCTCTGGGAGTTGCAGTATCTCCCTTTGACCAGGTAGTTTGAGGCCTGGGATCTGAGAAGGACTTTCTTTCCCCCAAATACTCAAGGGACAGTATAGGATTATGCACATGTGGATACCATGCAGAATATCCAGAGAGTGATGTAACTTCATGACATCATCCAATTTCATGACACATGGGCATTAAGGAACATTTGCCTAATTTATTTAACTGTACGGTTATATAAAGACTACACTTCTTCCTCCACAGACTATAGCTTTAGTAGACATGAAAGGCCTTTCCTTATGGCACCACAAAACACAAGTCCTGCAGAAAGGTCATGCTTCTATAATGATCTGCTGCTGAAGGATTTCAGACACAGCAAGGTTAACATGAAACACTGACTCAAGACAGCATCGGAAGGGATTGAACTAATTTGGGTTTGCATCAGGAAGACAGACCGTGCTGTTCGGACAACAGACACCTCATGGTCAAGGCTCTTCCATGACCTTTTATTGCAGCTGAGTTACACCAATGAGAAAGGTTTTGATTAGTCAAGAGGATTAAGGGCGCAGAACACGGATTAAATCACCAGGTTGTGCTATCATATGAAAGAGCTGAAAATAAATTCCAGCTTAAAGCAAGATTGCTCTACCAACAACTTTGCATTACTTTAGCTCAAAATTTTTTTTGCAGACTGTTAGATATAATCAGTTAATGTGGACGTGCTTTTAGAAATTACTTCCATCATCATCTAGTTTATTTTTCAGTCCACTGAGACTATTTGTGGACCATTCACATTGTAACTGATGCCAGAGAAGCTGGATGAACGCATTTAAGTTCAGGTAGTGGATCCTTTGAAGGGTCTCTGATGGTATCTCATGTATTCTAGTCAAAAACTTCTGATTAGAAATACTTGCCTAGCCCTTTTATTTGGCATCACTGAATTTGGTTGCATGTGAAGGGTAAAATTTTTAACAGCATTTTTAATATGCATTAACCAGTTCCTACTAACCAGTGGAAGACCCCCTTCCCTAAGTCCCTTCCCCAGGTATCAAAGCAGCCTGTTTAGGGGAAACCCTGGGGAGACTGTTAGCCTCTGCTCTTGCTGAGCGCTGTATTGTTGCAGAACAATAGTTATTCAGTTCTGCTGGGACAACCAGAAAGCTGCTTAGCAGCATCTTCAATTTAATCAAGAATGGGCCAGGCTTTCACAACTCATTAACAATACTATTGGCTCCAGAAGTCTGACAGACTCCAGACTTTTTTTTTTCTCTTTTCCCCCTCTCCAAAAAAAGCATCGTTTCTAACTATTTTTCAGTCTTCATCTTGGTCGCAGTCTTAGTACGTGAATCTTTCTGTGCTTATCCCATCAGCTGCCAGAGTTCCCTCCTGCTAGAGCACAGATCTGAAGTACTCTCTCATGATGAGAGGGAGATTTGGAGTTTATTAGTTGATCTCACCCTGCCCAAACTGGGAACCACATTTCTTTAATTTACAGCCATAATATATGTAGAAGGAAGAAGCTGTTTTAAAACTGGTCTTTGAGGTAAGCAAAAAACATTGTCTTTGCCACAAGCTGCTACAAGCCCTAAACTAGATTAGGGATGATTTATATCCCACTCTTATTAATCCTAGTTAGCGATCAGCCTATTACAGCAGTGTCAAAAACCGTTCAAATCCTCCATTATCTGAATAATGCTGTTAAATTTGCACATTTGTTTCTCCTAATAAATCCTTCTTATTCAGCCGAAAAGGAATGAGCTGTAATGAGCTCTCTCCCACCTCAAACACCTCCCTAAGCATCCTGCAAGGTTCTTCCAACTTTATGGGAAGCAAAACCAATGGTTTGCTCTTGTTTAAGAGAGACATATAAGAACAAGACAAGCATTTGCTGTCTAGTTTGACACTGGAGCATCTGGACAACGACTTTCACAAGGATTTGAACAGCTCTAAAATAAACAGAAAGGTTTGTCTTTCACCTTTTTCTATATATTGAAGAGCAGAGCTAGTCCTGCTAACAGAAAAGCTATTGGAGGCAGAGCAGCCTGAAAAGCTTCTAACCTCAAAATACTGATACTAGTGTGTGGGAAGACAAAACC